TGAGCATGTCACACCTCTATATTGAAAAGTTTAGGTTAAAACCGTGCTTTATATAAACAATGATAGAAGTTGAAAAACAAGGGGAGATTAAAAAAAAGGATGACAATGAGCAGATTTGGGTAAATAAACCCAACTAGACATGACATGAACCATCTTTGAAGTATACACCATACTAATTAGACTTTGCAAGACTAAATAGATCAAAAATGAATTGAATAAATGTTGATATAATATTATATGGGCTCAATATAATATGATCGATTATCAGCTTCAACCCCAATAACAAGAAATTATTTACCTGTTATGCTCAAGAACACTGCACCGAGGAGATCCCAACCAGTCTTGCCATTGCGTGAGAAGATTTGAAAGCTGTAGTGAGGTGACACTGCCTTCAAAATGGATGGTTGGTGTCTGAAGATATTGTAGATTCCGATTGCAGCATTTGTAACAAACCACAACAGCATAATTGGAGAGAATGCGAAGCTGACTTTACTTGTTCCACAACGTTGGAAGGCGAAGAGGATTATTAGAACAACAACCGCCAAGAAAACAATCTGGTCTGCAACAACAATAACCAGAACACCTGGGTGAGTTTTCGAAGCATCTCTAATTTGTTTTTGTTGGGAAAATAACACTTTGACCCCTTTTTAATTATGGAATCAATTTTAATTTGGCCATTGAATTATTGAATTTTTTACATTCCCCCTAACNAGAAAATATTTTGGCGATATACTTTTTGATAAATTAGATTTTTAGTTTGTATTAAATTTGACTCAATTTTGATTATATGTATATAAATTAATATTTGATTTTGATTACATGTATATAAATTAATATTTTTTAAGTCAATTCTATTATATTTTGTGGATTCTATAATATAAAATAGGACGGGTTCAACAAGTCCATCCGACGGTCTCAAATAAGTTCATCCAACGACCACTAACATCTCTCTCCATAACATTCATATTAAATTTTACCTTCTTCTTCTCACTTTTCACTCTCTTTCTCTGGAAGTGGCGAAGGGAGGAGGGGCCTGTGGCCACCTTGAAAAAATAATATTTTTTTAATTGTATATGTTTTATATATTTTTTTAGATTATTTGGGTCCACTGTAATGATTTATGAAAAATAAAATTAATTGGATCAAACAAGTTAAGTACTAGAACAAAAAAATAAAAACAAAAAATTCATACCAAATCTCTTAAAATTAGCAAATTAAAATTGATTCCTTAGAGTATTTGTATGATTTGTTGAAGTCTCTATTGATTCAAAAATTATAGAATATATAGCAAAAAATGAATAAAATATAGAACCTATAAAAAGATTAAAAATTATAGAATATTATTTTTATTTGTATAACATAAATTATATTATTGATCCTTAATGTATAGATGTAATCTAATTAATTTTTTTCAAATAGACCTTTTTTATGTTTAATAAATTTTTAAGTATCAAATTTAATATAAAAAATATAAATATATCACACTATTTTTATCTATTATACTTAAACTGTGTCCATCCTAAATCATATTTTTGGCTCTCCCACTGCTTTTAGGGATTTTTACTCTTCACTTTTTCAAATTAATTGGTTGATTTATATTGCATTGTGTCTTCAAGCACGGGTTACCCCTAGTCTTTTAATAAGACACAACAAAAATTGAACAACCATTAGAAAAAATCATACCTGGCGTTTGGTTTATACGCCGTCTATTCTAGTGTAAGGAAAACTCTTACGCCAAAAAATTCCAAATTTCTTGTAGTGAGTTAAAGATATTGTCATCATGTTATCATAAAAAGACCCAAGAATCAATTATCGTGACTCATACAAGTGGTTCTAAATTCATAGACTGTTCAGTGGAATATTAGATAAGATGCTACTTATTAACTACCATAAGATACAAATGAACCCAAAGTCAATGCAGCAAGTCTTGGATTCCAAGTACTTTGGAATGCAAACTCCACCACTTAAATATATCCCTGTCCCAGCCCATTTTCTTTCTTATCTTTTCTCAGTATGTCAACACACACTTTCAGGCTACTTTAATGTGGAAGATGGAGCTTTGAAAGCTACATTCAAAGTCCCTCTTGCTTCTTCACCGATTGATCAACCATCCGCTTAAGGTGAGTATGAGGGAAAAATATTGGAGTACAGTGCCCGAGACTCTCTCCTACAAGGGGTCTAAGAGAGATAAGTAGCAACTTTACTCGTATTTTAAAGAGGTTGATTTCAAGATTCAAACTTAAGTTGTATTACCTGGACTGATATGCATGCGTAAAATAAGAAGGAAAAAAAATTCAACAAAAAAAATACCTTAGGTTTGTTTATAGGAGTCTGGTATATATCACTAAAACTCAAGGATCTGTTTATGATATCCATTCGTTCAATATGTGTGCTGCGTCGGTCGGAACCATTAGATGCCGTTTCAAGGTCTCCTTCTACGGTGGAGTTGCTGGCTTTAGCATCTGCCATGAATCTAACTTCTGAGCTACTTTATTATGCAATTAAGGTTGTGCTGCTTTTTCTGCTTCTTGCCTCTTCTTATACAAGTTGTCTCAAGAAGTGCTATGCATGTAGTACATTCATTTACAGCCATACAAATAATATAAGAGAGCAGGTACATCAAATGCTAAAGAATTGTGATGGCCTATGTGCAATTACGCACGCGGAAAGATTATAAAAGAGAGCAGGTTAAGTCAATCCAAATCCATAATTACTAGACAAATAATGCAATTAACAAATGAAATCCTTCAAAGAATCATAGTTTATCAGTACTTTCACTTCACCGGGAAACTCTACCGTACCCCAAAAAAAAAAATTTAAACACGTAATCAATCATGAAAATCTCTGTATCGATGTCAACTTTCTATGATTGATCATACATATCTTTTAAAATTATAACATACACTTCAAAAAAATTATAATTTAACTTTGAAAAATTATAATTTTTAATATCAGTTCTGTCGGCAGCATCCTAACATTTCCCAACTTCACCACATACAAATTCAGTTTAGTCATCCTCTAGTTTTCTTTTTAATTATGGAAAAAGAGTGATTAAATTAAAAAAACTTATCGAATTAGGTTGTTGGAGGGTTGATTTGACAAGTGATTAATAGTTATCTAATTACTTGTGACAAGGCATCGTGTAGGTCTTTGGATTACTCAACTGCCCTTAGTCTTTATGCCAAATGACTAACTAATGTCAACCGGCCTGAATATTAAAGGTATCAATTGAATTATATCGTATTTTATCTATATTGTATTCGTATAAACCGTAAATCACGAATTGCAAAATTAGGCCACTCTATTTTCTTGGTCAAATCTACTTTGTATTTAATTGATAATTAGATCCACCATGTCCAATGGAGAGGCCAATGGAAGAAGTTCCCATTGACGTTACAGTTAATAGGTCACATGGGCTTACCCAGAATTTAGTAACATTCCACAAGAAAGATCTGGCCTGTAGTGTCATGTAGCTTTCAAACTCTCCAAATACAATGAAGAAGAAACCTGAAGCTTAATGCCTCCTTTTCTGAATCGAATCCACCTTGTTCTCCACTTATTAATTAAAAAACAAAAGGGAAATTTTCAACTACATTCTTTTTAATTTATCATATTCAAAATGTTACTGACACCCCGTTTAGTTTATATTTAAACATCACTGATGCCCCATGCCGTTAACCATCATTTCTAACTTTTTTTTTTTATATAAAATACTAAAATTGTGCCTACATAAATCCTAAACAATATTTCTACATAAAATTCGAACTGATTAAAATTCACTTTTTTACGTATTAAAATTTTATTTGATTAAAACTTATTTTTCAACATATTAAAATTTAAACCGATTAAAATTATATTCAAACTAATTAAATTTTATTTTTTTTACGTATTAAAATTTGAGCCTATTAAATTTTTTTTTTACGTATTAAAATTCAAGTTGATTTCAACTCAACTTGAGTTATTAGCATCAATTAAAATTCGATTCAAATGGATTAAATTTTATATTTTTTTTACTTATTGAAATTCATGTCAATTTAAATTCGATTCAAGTTGATTAAAATTTATTTTTTATGTATTTAAATTTGAGTCGATTAAAATTTATATTTTTTTACGTATCAAATTTTGGGCCGATTAAAATTCAATGGAAGCTAAAGAATTTTAATCGAGTCAAATTAAATTTTAATCGACCCGAATTTTAATATGTAAAAAAATTCATAAAACAAATGATGTCTCATTGAATATATGCTCATCTAGAGAGGGTGTGGATAAAATGTTTCCTAAAATATCCGACATTTAGTGTCAATGAAGATTTAAAAAATAAAACAGGTGTCCTTGAAGAAATAATAAATTAAAAGGAATGTGACTGAAATTTTTCCAAAAAAAAATCTATTTGATCCACATTTTTAAAAAATCAAATGATAAATCTTAGTTCTGTAATAATTCATACCATACTAGACAACGAAATAAATAATAAAAACAGATTTTCTTCCCGTAACTCCACTTGGACATTTATCGTATCAGAATCAAATAAAATTACCATTTGATTTCTTCCTTTTTGAATTCTCACCAATGTAATGGGTTGTGTAGAAAATTGTCACCCTTAACACCAAGAACAAGTTATATGGTAGATGGGGTTCCTGATACTGTTGGTAATGCAGTTATGCAATTGATGGACGCCGTGAAGATAGAACACCCACTTCAGAGATTACCCATTTGCTCTAGTTTCTCACAAACACTTCAAAAATAAATGGTCCATCAATACCCCCAAAGCGATCGACAACAAGAATTAGAAATGATATATTAAGCAAAACTGAGATCAACTGGGTAAAAATTGATTGCAACACAATGTGTCAAAATCTCTTCTCGATCTAAAACTTGAACTACAACTAAGCAGCCACCAGAAGGGGTGGAAAAGGAGAAGAGAGAGTATTTCCTTTGCTATGTGGTGTTGAGATGAGCATCTACCATGAACAATACCGCTAATCTGTATACGTGTGTTACTAAAAAAGAGCCATGGTTGCATTAAACCAGGAAGAAGTAGGTCTACCTCCATTTGGGTAAGAAGTGCCTTGCAGGCTGCAGTAAATATGGATTTGAGCAGCTTCCCCAATCTTGTCTTTAAGTAGCATACTGATGATGCAGAACATACTNAGGCTGCAGTAAATATGGATTTGAGCAGCTTCCCCAATCTTGTCTTTAAGTAGCATATTGATGATGCAGAACATACGTCACAACTTCGTAAAACGAAACCACAATTCCCACGGAAGGTCCTGCACGGCCAACACGAGGACCAACACCCGTGAATAGTCCCTTCATCCCACCATCCCCGCACCAGGAACAAATTCTAATTCAGGATTCATTGAGCTGCAATTAACAAAGATTATATGGAGTTTGCAAAGAAAAACGAATAAGTGTGAAATTTCACAGATGGGACTCTATTTTTTCATCAAACAAAGTAAAAGATAGAACAATATTTGCAAAGACAAGTTAGGATTCCAGTTACACATGACATTAGTTATATACCGTAATAGTGTTCCATGCACCAATCATATTCATCAGTAATGAATGACTTTACAAGTAAACCATTTCATTTCTACTCTCTATTTTGATTGCCTACATAATATACCGGTTTTCTAAGGATAATTGGTAATTCATTATAGAGATCTACATCCAAACCTCCATTAGCGTTTGTCTCATTGTCATCCTCAATGCCCTGGCATGATCTTTCTGTAAAAAAAGGAAGGATAAAAAAACAGAATTCTTTAGAATAAAAGAAGTCCTGTTCAGACATAANAAATTTTTTTTTTACGTATTAAAATTCAAGTTGATTTCAACTCAACTTGAGTTATTAGCATCAATTAAAATTCGATTCAAATGGATTAAATTTTATATTTTTTTTACTTATTGAAATTCATGTCAATTTAAATTCGATTCAAGTTGATTAAAATTTATTTTTTATGTATTTAAATTTGAGTCGATTAAAATTTATATTTTTTTACGTATCAAATTTTGGGCCGATTAAAATTCAATGGAAGCTAAAGAATTTTAATCGAGTCAAATTAAATTTTAATCGACCCGAATTTTAATATGTAAAAAAATTCATAAAACAGATGATGTCTCATTGAATATATGCTCATCTAGAGAGGGTGTGGATAAAATTTTTCCTAAAATATCCGACATTTAGTGTCAATGAAGATTTAAAAAATAAAACAGGTGTCCTTGAAGAAATAATAAATTAAAAGGAATGTGACTGAAATTTTTCCAAAAAAAAATCTATTTGATCCACATTTTTAAAAAATCAAATGATAAATCTTAGTTCTGTAATAATTCATACCATACTAGACAACGAAATAAATAATAAAAACAGATTTTCTTCCCGTAACTCCACTTGGACATTTATCGTATCAGAATCAAATAAAATTACCATTTGATTTCTTCCTTTTTGAATTCTCACCAATGTAATGGGTTGTGTAGAAAATTGTCACCCTTAACACCAAGAACAAGTTATATGGTAGATGGGGTTCCTGATACTGTTGGAAATGCAGTTATGCAATTGATGGACGCCGTGAAGATAGAACACCCACTTCAGAGATTACCCATTTGCTCTAGTTTCTCACAAACACTTCAAAAATTAATGGTCCATCAATACCCCCAAAGCGATCGACAACAAGAATTAGAAATGATATATTAAGCAAAACTGAGATCAACTGGGTAAAAATTGATTGCAACACAATGTGTCAAAATCTCTTCTCGATCTAAAACTTGAACTACAACTAAGCAGCCACCAGAAGGGGTGGAAAAGGAGAAGAGAGAGTATTTCCTTTGCTATGTGGTGTTGAGATGAGCATCTACCATGAACAATACCGCTAATCTGTATACGTGTGTTACTAAAAAAGAGCCATGGTTGCATTAAACCAGGAAGAAGTAGGTCTACCTCCATTTGGGTAAGAAGTGCCTTGCAGGCTGCAGTAAATATGGATTTGAGCAGCTTCCCCAATCTTGTCTTTAAGTAGCATATTGATGATGCAGAACATACGTCACAACTTCGTAAAACGAAACCACAATTCCCACGGAAGGTCCTGCACGGCCAACACGAGGACCAACACCCGTGAATAGTCCCTTCATCCCACCATCCCCGCACCAGGAACAAATTCTAATTCAGGATTCATTGAGCTGCAATTAACAAAGATTATATGGAGTTTGCAAAGAAAAACGAATAAGTGTGAAATTTCACAGATGGGACTCTATTTTTTCATCAAACAAAGTAAAAGATAGAACAATATTTGCAAAGACAAGTTAGGATTCCAGTTACACATGACATTAGTTATATACCGTAATAGTGTTCCATGCACCAATCATATTCATCAGTAATGAATGACTTTACAAGTAAACCATTTCATTTCTACTCTCTATTTTGATTGCCTACATAATATACCGGTTTTCTAAGGATAATTGGTAATTCATTATAGAGATCTACATCCAAACCTCCATTAGCGTTTGTCTCATTGTCATCCTCAATGCCCTGGCATGATCTTTCTGTAAAAAAAGGAAGGATAAAAAAACAGAATTCTTTAGAATAAAAGAAGTCCTGTTCAGACATAAGATTCTGGTTTAGTTTACATAAATTAATAAAAACCACTAACTATTTTCTCCGATAAATGCTACATTAGCGACATGCTCCAACTAGGTTTTATACCTTTCATTATTCCCCTTAGGGTGGAAGAAGATACCACTTGAGGAAATAGATAATAGGCAGCATTGGGGACACAATATTGATTTTTTTTTTGTTGAGGGGGCAAAAAGTATTATGTTTCAAAAGCTAGTCCGCTTTATTTACCACAGCAAACTAGGAAGGCAGAAGATACAACATGGAGTAGGGAGGATAGACACTGATTCTACTGGTATGGTCAATTATAGTAGCATGTAACAAAACCTGTTGGTGATTTTTTTTTTATATAACTTGACACACACCAATACTTGCAAAAAAAAGGTGAAGATGAGTCTAGCCCTGAGAATAAACCTCAATTTGCCTTCTGGTTTTCGCAACATCAAGTGGACATGTAGCAGCAGCAGCAAGGCTTCCTGCAACAAAACCAGCAGAGAAATTTGCACCAAGCACACTGGCTGCATTGGCTTCCTCACCCACCAGACCAAGAAGTCGTCTTCTCATCTGTACAGAGAATTTGAAAAAATAAAACTAAATCATATTAAATACAATCACAGCTAGAACTACACTACATTTTTGAAGAATAAAAACTGACCCGTTCAAGGGTCGACCAACAAATAGCAGAGAAAGGCACATCACGAGAGAGCTGTGCCCCAAGGCCCGTCCATAGGACACGGTAGCTTTNGGGGGGGGAGATTATGTTTCAAAAGTCAGTCTGCTTTATTTACCACAGCAAACTAGGAAAGCAGAATGCAGACGATACAAAATGGAGTAGGGAGGATAAACACTGATTCTACTGGTATGGTCAATGATAGTAGCATGTAACAAAACCTGTTGGTGATTTCTTTTATATAACTTGACACATCAAAACTTGCAAAAAAAAGGTGAAGATGAGTCTAGCCCTGAGAATAAACCTCAATTTGCCTTCTGGTTTTCGCAACATCAAGTGGACATGTAGCAGCAGCAGCAAGGCTTCCTGCAACAAAACCAGCAGAGAAATTTGCACCAAGCACACTGGCTGCATTGGCTTCCTCACCCACCAGACCAAGAAGTCGTCTTCTCATCTGTACAGAGAATTTGAAAAAATAAAACTAAATCATATTAAATACAATCACAGCTAGAACTACACTACATTTTTGAAGAATAAAAACTGACCCGTTCAAGGGTCGACCAACAAATAGCAGAGAAAGGCACATCACGAGAGAGCTGTGCCCCAAGGCCCGTCCATAGGACACGGTAGCTTTGCACTGCAACAGATAAATACAACGCCAATTAAATTGAAGAGCTCATAATAGAAATCCTTAATAGAAACAATACGCTGAGATGACAGAGAATACATGTCACTACATATTGGCAAAACATAGTGCAATTTAATGTTAAAATAATTAGAATGGATTTAGCATTTAAGGGTCGGTAAAGTGTTGGTTGCAATGTCTGAGTGAATTCGTTCCTTAAGCTTCTCCCCACTTTCCTACAGTGGTGCAGTTACGATTTGTTTCTTCCGAAGAAACTTTATAGTTGTGCCCCAAGAACAACATAAGAAACTAGTATCACATGACAGCATATTATTTGGAGTCGTCATTGGGGCCCAAATGACATGACATCAAATAAAGAAGCCCAAGTCAAATGTTATGTCATTTGAGCTTTTAATTTAGCCCCAATATTTGGTCAACGTAGTGTTATGTATAACTCGTTCACAATCAACTATTGACGAATTAAGAGCTCATTTTAGTTCATCACATGCTTTGAGTAGCTCGACTTGAAGCAATCTCACCTTCTTGTATGGAGCAGCTTGCATATGTCTTCTGAAGTTAGATAGTTTCTTTATTTTTTGAAGAGGGTCCAAAGGATATTCATTGCCCTGCTCCAAAACAAAATATAGGCTTCCTAATATCATTTACTTAAATTAGTTCATTTCTAGTCCATTAACCCTCTTGCATGCTGTATTATGACTGCCACGTTAGGGAACTATACTCCTGCACAGAAACAACCCCTTTGCATGAAGATGAAAACTGTATACATCAAATCCTTCCCANTTTATTTTTTGAAGAGGGTCCAAAGGATATTCATTGCCCTGCTCCAAAACAAAATATAGGCTTCCTAATATCATTTACTTAAATTAGTTCATTTCTAGTCCATTAACCCTCTTGCATGCTGTATTATGACTGCCACGTTAGGGAACTATACTCCTACACAGAAACAACCTCTTTGCATGAAGATGAAAACTGTATACATCAAATCCTTCCCGATCCTACAGTGTCGGGAGTCTTGTTCATTAGGTTGCCCTTTTTTAGCTATGGGTTTAACCAAAATATGAACCACGTAAGGAATGTTATTATGGTTGTTCCATGTGTTTTTTGCTCGATATTCCATTGTTTCAATAATCCTTTTGATTCTACTGTTGAAAGTTAAACTCGACATTTCTCGANATGTTATTATGGTTGTTCCATGTGTTTTTTGCTCGATATTCCATTGTTTCAATAATCTTTTTGATTCTACTGTTGAAAGTTAAACTCGACATTTCTTGTGTTTTCATGTGGATGAAACGTGCAGGTTGCATTCAGGACAAAGGTTTTTCGCCCAAATATCAATAGCAATGGAAGCATATGCCTGGACATCTTNCATGTGTTTTTTGCTCGATATTCCATTGTTTCAATAATCTTTTTGATTCTACTGTTGAAAGTTAAACTCGACATTTCTTGTGTTTTCATGTGGATGAAACGTGCAGGTTGCATTCAGGACAAAGGTTTTTCGCCCAAATATCAATAGCAATGGAAGCATATGCCTTGACATCTCGAAGGAACAGTGGAGCCCTGCCCTAACCATTTCCAAGGTTCTCATCCTAAACGTCAGACATCTAACATGGGAAATTTGACTAAGCCACCACAAAGAATTCACAACAATATTGAATTCCAGTTGGTGATATTCCCGACATAAACACCCTGAAAACTTGGTAGATCACATGTTATTGCCCTAGTTTGTGCTCTGGGCTCTAATCAGGGGTATTATCCATTCCAAGATCTGGAGCTCACCAGGGACTGACCCTGTCCTTGTATCTCTTGCTTATTGCTTTGCTAGTTAGGTTTTTAATGCTCCCAAAATGATACATACACTGGTGTGAAGGTTGATTGCTTGTATTTATATGTAAGTGGACCAAAATCTTTAACTTTTTGCATTTACAGGTTTTGCTGTCAATCAGTTCTTTGTTGACGGGCCCAAACCCTGATGATCCCTTGGTGCCACAGATTGCTCACACGTACAAGACAGACAGAAACAAAGTATGAAACTACTACAAGGAGCTGGGCCCAGAAGTATGTCATGGGCTAAGAATATCATCTTATGTCTAAGGACAAGGGAAGTATTACTCTTTCAAATACTTTGGTGTTCCCATTCTATTTGTGAATTAGTTTGATCTGTCGGTTGATCCGAACCGGACAAAAGAAGGGTCCCTGATATGCCCTTTAAAAGAGGGAAAAACACATGTTACTTCTGAATGTTTGCATATGTAATTTAATCTCCTAAACTAAGCATTGTTTCCATATCATATTTGTCTACACAAGTAGTTCTACTTTCCTTTCTGAAAAAGCAGAGAAAACAAAAGGAAAGGTAAACAAGAGCAATAACCAAAATAGGACCCTTGCCAAAGACAGATGCATGCACTGCAAGACCACTTTAGATCCAGCTCTGGAACTTGCTCTATGAATTTAGGCTCGAACGAGCTGCAAACCCCCGGTAATTCTCTGCAATTTGCCTACTAAATTTCATAAAGCATTCCGACTTGCAAGGTCTTTCCCGGTGGGACTTCATGTATGGAAAGTTCAGGCCTACAGTTTTTCTGCAGAAATCTGTACAGGTAATCTATTATGAAGCGAACAAACCATCCATTGTTCCGGTTTGTCTTCAGAATTGTCCGGCCTATTACAAAAACAACTCCCTTTTCTGCTGCTGAATCTAGTCTTTCTATTTCGTCGGTGGATTCAGCGTGCTCTTTGAGTTTTGCCAGCACTGAAGCAACAAATTCATCTCCGGCAACTGCAATGCTCTGTGAATCATTGTAACCAAACTGAACCAAACACCTATAAACCCCATCACTTCCCAGTTTTCCAACATTAAACCTTTCCTCTGGTAGAACCTTTTTGACTGGGAGTGTTCTAAAAGTTACAATCACCATGGTTTCATGCACAGAACTTGTGTGCTGAATGTAATGCCGGATGATGGGTGGAATCCCATTGACAAGATCAGTATAGAAGAAGCAAGTTCCGGATGCTCGATAAACCGTATTTCTTGCTAGCATTTGGTTCAGTTCACCCAAGCTCATCTTCCTCTCGGCTTCATATGCACTCTTCCTACTCCTTCCATATAACCAAGAGAACATGACAGTCAAGAAGAAAGCTGAGATAGCATATGGAACCCATCCTCCTTGTGGGATTTTGGTGAGCAAGGATGTCATAAAGACACCTTCAATCAGTATGTAGGGCACGAAAAACATTAGTATGAGAAGAACATGTGTGTCCCAAACGAGCAGCATCACCAACGTTGTCATACACGTTGTAATGATCATCACCCAGATCACAACCGCACCTACCAGGCCCAACCAAACAAAAAGGGGTTGATTTAAATGACTATCGTTCTATTTTTGAATATCTGAGGTTACAATAACTAGATTTGTCAAAATTCAACACCACACTACTAAATGGCACGAATTCACACGTAGTTAAAGGGGTTGGGTGAGGTTTTATCAAGTTCTGGTGATAAATGGGTGCACACATCAGACCTGTTTATTAAAGTGGTCATATTCGTGTGAGACATATCAATCCGTTTAAATATAATTAATATAATGATTAAAAAAATGAGCCAAAATAATATATGTAGTTATTAATTAAATCAGTTTTTTTAAAAAAGTTTANAAATTAATATAATAATTAAAAAAATGAGCCAAAATAATATATGTAGTTATTAATTAAATCAGTTTTTTTTAAAAAGTTTGATAATAAATTTTTTAGTGAATTACAACATTTTTAATGACAAAAGAGTGGCGAGTTAAAAGGGTAATCGTGTTAACATGATTCGTTTATTAAACGGGTTAAACGAGTCATATCGTATAACCGCTTAATAAATGAATCGTTTTCGGTTTAAAAATTTTCATCCCGTTTATTTAAACGAATTGTGTATGAATTTACTGATATCCACACGAATTCAATTAGACTCGACTCGTAACCATTTAACTCCACGCGGTTGTCACCCATAACTTTAATTTCTTATAATGCGATACCTAGTAACAAGTCTCCCTTCTCCGAAATGTAATCAAGAAAAGATCACTGAAGGAGACTTACCGTAAGCATTTGCTAGAGCAACACCATCTCTNTAAAAATTTCCCTTTCTTACATTTTCTTCCATTATCCCACTAAACAAATGTACCCGAAGAAAAATATATTTTCTTGTTATTTTCCTTTTTTCACTTTACTTTCATCATTCTTTGTTCGAAATTATAAGTGCTTCAAAAGGAATAAACCAAGTACCTGCATGCGAGTTTTAGCAAGTTCAATAGGGTAGCAGCTTGTGCAAGCTAATGATCGTGCCAATGAGCCTGCTACTAAAGGGGTATAAGGCAACATGCTTGGAGCATTCTGTCCAGTGAATTCCTCTAACTGGTTACGGAAAACATCATAGCAAGGCAGATAGATACCCACCTGTTTACATAACAAGGTTTCCCACAATGTGTCAAAACAAAGTAATTTACACCCAAATATCATCAAATTGCGTTCTACAAATACGAAGCCAAGCCTGAATCACCGAAAAAACCTTACAGTGGGTACAGCCAGTGCTAGGCCTGCATTTGTGCCTCTCCATAACCTTGCAAATCCTTCCTGCAAAAAATGATCCATGTTAAACCTCTAAAAACAATTGTAGTGACACCCAAGACAAAGATGAGGATTTCAATATCATGGAACCTATATACTTATTATGCCAAAAAAATGCAAATGAGCAACCAAGTAACAATTAAAATGCCTGGAAGATTTCGATCCCGCATCCATATTGGATGGACCATATCAACATCTGAAAATATTACCTGTCACATAAGATAAACTATAGATATGCAGGATCATGACTGCACAAATACACCAACCTGTCGGATTATTTTGTAGAAGACATCCAGTGTTCCTTTATACTGGAAACAATCAGGAGGGCAAATTGCTACGGTGCCATGAACGCCAGCTCGGGCACATGACGGAGAACACCTTAGATCTGCAAACATCTGAACAAATATATTGCAGAAGGCAAAATAAGTACGGAACAGATACGACATCAAAAATGGTAGGACTGCAGAGTAACTTACAAGTAACAGCTCAATATGAAACTTGAGTACGAGAACTAAGAAGCTTGCTTGTACTTTCACAAACTCTAGGTAATAGATGCAGTCTCAAAGAACAAATTGATGTGAAGTTGGTATTTTTCTGGTCCAAACACTAAGATAATTGAGCCCATGTGAGCACCAGACCTATCCTCCCAAACACATGCAATTCTATCATCCACACTCAAGAGGGGGCAATACCACTGGGAATGACTTAAAACTCATAATCTGCACCTCATATGCCTCTTGGAAAATTTGGAAAATTTGTGAGCAATTTAAGGTCAAAGAGAAGAATCTTAATGACCATTGTTATAGTTATTCTTACTCTCAAATATGCAAAATTTTATCAAAGCCAATGGAAACAAGCACGTCTCACGAGGGTTACATACCCAATGTATCCATGTATTACTGTTACACAGCATTGCACCAATAACAAATTGGCATAATGGACCCGGCGAAATGAATTGNGAGGGTTACATACCCAATGTATCCATGTATTACTGTTACACAGCATTGCACCAATAACAAATTGGCATAATGGACCCGGCGAAATGAATTGAGGGGCCAAACCAATAAATGATAACCCAACAGGAAATCAGTAGAAACAAAAAAAAAAAATTGAAGGGAAATGAATGTGATACCCTAGACTAAAGTTTGATTTGGATTCCTAGTTCTAAATATTTATCGTTGAAGAGCTGCATCAATTGCACCTATTAAAGAAACTAAAAGAATTATTGAAATGAGTTCAAATGGAAGAAAAAATGTGCTACTAAATGAATCCCAATTTGTTGACTATTACTTATCAAATCNTTGTCATCCATTGATATTGGGTATGCTTCGATTCTTCTACCATTGGCTCTATTTCTTCCTCTCTCTCTCTCTCTAAAAAACCAACACTTGAATCAAAGACCGATCAACCTGAAACGTGCCATTGCCCAATGATATGAACTTTTGCTTCTTCAAAGCAAAATAAATGAAATAAATTAAGACAATCAGTATTCTAAATCAAAAGGCTTAAGTGGTTGGTTTATTGAAACAAAATCAGTGAAATAAAGCAAAATCAATGAAATAAATTGAGACAATCAGGATTCTAAATCTTTAAAAAGGCTTAGGTGGCTGGTTTTTGGAAACAAAATCAGTGAAATAAAGCCGAATGATCAGAAGATTGATAGAAAGAAAATATACGATAAAAAAATGAAGAGCATCGTAACCTAGAAGCCAAAAATAGACATTAACAGGAGAGGTAAAAAATAACCTATTGATCTCAGCTTTGATTCTTTCCCACGGAGCAATTAACGTAGGATTGATTGGTGGGTTTTGAAGACTAATCGAGGCTGTTTTCCAAGTTCCTTGGAGAACAGGAAAGCCAGAGGGCAGGGGAGTATACTAACCCCACATAAGAGAGAGAGAGGGTGGGTGGAGCAAGGAACCTTCTCGATTTAGGGTTGCGTTTAGGGACACTCCTAATTAGAGCAAAACAGGAAATTATATATATTTGTAGTAATAAAATTGAGCAATATTATGTAATAATATAAGTTTATTTTATGGTGGGGGCTATTCTCACCCCCCCTAAAAATCTCTGTCCCACTTTATTAAATTATAAATCATAACATATATCATCTATATTCATTTCACTAATAATTAATTATACCTCATTCTATATTCACCCCCCATTATCTATTTATATCTATATCTACATATATTCTATACTACTAATAAAAGTACTTTAACATGAAAAATTTTTAATTTACTATTTCGCCCTCATAAAGAATTAAAAAGTTCGTTCTATTATTTCACACTTAATATCTAAATTATCATCATATATTTTATATAATTAAATCTCTAAATTACATCTAATATCATTTTTAGTTATATATTCCCCATATATAAATGTTAATTTTTACGAAAATTTTTTGATTGATTGTATTACTTTTAAAAAATATATGCGTCATTATAAATTTTAAAAAATATTCAAAAAAGCCTTCAAAAATTTCATCATATAATATTACTCAATTTATTTATAAAGATAATATTATGGCTACATGTTTATATTTTATTTTTCATCAAAATATTTAACCCTTTCATTTTTAAGATAAAAAATAAATGCATATATAATTTTACATAATTTTTTAGTCGCAGTAAACTTTTCAGACTTTGTTAAGATTTATGTGAAAACTTTATTTTAAAAAAAAATTAATACATTTTATAATATATATTATAGCATTATACATTAAATTTGATTCCAATTAACCTGGATAATCCTAAATACAATAAGACTCTAATATGATTGGTATTTTGATAATTATTTTTATTTTACTCAGTGATTTATAAGTAGAATTTTACTCAAATTAATTTTCTAATTATCTATTCTCTATTTATAAATATTAATTTTTATAAAACTTTTTGATTGATTATATTATTCTAAAATAAATATACATTATTTTACATTTTGACAAAATTTTCAAAAAATTCCTTCAAAAACTTCATTAATATAATAATACTCATCTCATTTATAAAAATAATATTATGACTACATATATATATATATATTAATTTTTCATCAAAATATTTAACCATTTTATTTTTAAAATAAAAAATAATATATATATAGTTTTACAAGATTTTTTATTCGCAATAAATTTTCTAAATTTTGTTAATATTTTATGTGAAAATCTGATTTTAAAACAAATTAATATAATTTATAATATATATTATAATGTTGTATATTAAATTTTATCTCAATTGATTTAACTAATACTAAATACAGTAAGTTCCAATACGATTGATATATTGATAATTATTTTTATTTTATTCAATGATTTATAAGTGAAATTTTAATCAAATTAATTTTAAAAAATTTATTTTTCAAGCATTACTAAAAAATCACTTTCAATTACAAAATTATAGGAACAAAATAGAACTGTAATTATTTCTTCTTTTTTTTATTATTATTTTTCTTAAAGTTAAAACAATAACTCTTGAAAATATACAAAGTTTTCAAAAATTTTATAGTGAAGAATGGGAGATGAAAATATAAATTTGGTAAATATATATTACCAAAATTCTTATAATTTGATGTGGGAGATTTGTTGATATTGTTCTTTTCCTTTTCAAAAAATTTAGCTTTAGGTGTGACTTTCAACAAAGATTTTGAGAGATTTATTTTTAGATATATTGCGAAAATTGCGTTTGAAGAAGATATTTTTCTCTGCAAATTATTTTTATTGACGATTAAAAAAGGAAGAAAGAGAAGCGCATAGTAAAATCGAAGTATTAGTCCGACAATGAGATCGAACAACGACAGTTGAAGTAATTTGCATGAAATAAATCCAAAGTGGAATCTTTTGTGTATAGACTGTGTGAGATGTGTATAAAAAGAAATTTTAAAAGAAAAAAATTAAGATAAATTTTATTATTAATGAGGTGCATATAGAATGAAGTGAACTTATTTATTAATATGGTATATATAAAAAATGTGAACTTAATAATTTTATAATTTATAATTTAATAGGGTGCTCGTGAAAATTTGTGGAGTGGAAATAATCCCACCCTTTATTTTATTGTTCGACATCTATAAATTTTATTTATTTATTTTGATACGTAGTCAAATAACAATTAGACTATCTCTTGTATATAAAAAATATAACATGATTTATAGATAAAAAACAACCTAAAAATTTGCCATGGTCCTGAAACTCGAACTCTTGACCACGTATACTTATCCCAAGCCCGGTGGGGGAAATAGGTCAATTAATAGATCAAATTTCAATTAGAATCTGATCTGAATTTGGTTTAGATATCTTAAATTGAATATAAAAATAGATATATAAAAATTCAATCTGGTTAATATATATATATTAATTTGGGATAATCTATTTTAAAGGTACGATAAGTGAGAAGTAATAGATTTGGAGGAGAAAAAATTTAATATAAATTATTTTAAAAGGGATATTGACAATCGTTAGATGTGTCCATTTGAGATTGTTGGATGAGTTTATCAAAGTTTGTCTTATTTTATATTATAGATTATTATTTATATTTGATCTAAAAAATTATTTATTGTAATTTTGATGGAATATTATTATGAATGGAATTGGATAATCGGATCGAATATTCGATTATAAACAAATTCGGATATGAATATCGGACCGGATATCCAAACCCAATAGGTTGAGAGGCGTTGAGACTTGAGAGGCTTAGCTGGAAAGCACCAGAAGAAATTAGGCCCGCCTCTCTCTCCATCTCTCTCTCTCTCTCTCTCTCTCACTCTCACTCTCACTCTCACACACCCACCCACCCACCACGCGCGCGCGCACAAACATACACCTGACACATCCGCACAAGGGCGGGACAAAGCCAAAACCTTGAAACCTCTTTTTTTCCCTTCTCCAAAATTTTCCCCGGAATATATACTTTCCCTCCTCTCTGTTGTTTCCTCATGAAATGGGAAATGGAGGTCGAAGAGATTGAAGCAGTGCTTGAGAAAATCTGGGACTTACATGACAAGCTCAGCGATGCTATTCACTCCATTTCAAGAGCTCACTTTCTCAATTCAATCAAATCCCTCAACCGAAAATCCCCCGATACTGATTTCTTTTCCTGCCGAAATTCCTCGGAGAAAAAGAAATTCAATGATTCCGATGTCAATCAGAGAAGCGGCTTCGTTTTCATGAAGGATTTCCGGGCTGACGACAATGACTCTGCTCTTGAAGAGGCTAAGAGTCTCAATGCGATTCGAACAGCCCTCGAGAATCTCGAAGATCAGCTCGAGATCTTCCATGTGAGTTGCTCTTCGCTTCGATTTCCATGGGTTTCGATTTTTTGGTGTTTGTTCGCTGAGAAAGTTGAAAAATAAAGTGAAAGCTGAGCCATGTATTGTCAGTTTAGGTGAATTAATCATATCAGGTTAAGTGTAATATTGGAGATTTTGTTTCTGATATTCCCTACAATTTCTTGGTAGCCCAACAAAAATGTCTTCGATATAGATTGTGTTATTTGTGCTAATTTGGTGTTTCCGTCAACTTCGTTTGGATCGGTTTTCTGATTTAGTTGAAGGGATTGCTAAAATTTGTTTATATGCACTGTGTCAAAGGCTGTAGATATTCTTGGGTATTTATGGAAATTCCCTATTTAATAGGCAAACAGCCTGTTGGAGCTGTGAGATCAAAATTACACCGGAAGTGTCTTGCTATATATAGAGATACTTTGAGATGAATATATGGAAATACATGCAAGACAATAGTGTTCTTTAACAATGCAGCAATACTTCTGAAATTCAGTTTGTAAGTATTATGATAGAACACCTACTGGGGGAAATCTCAGAGCAAACTGTTTACCCTGCCAATAGGTTTTTTATTAGTTTTCGATGGTCCTGTATTCTGTTATTAGAAGTAAGTATAATCTAGTTCATGGTTAGCTGTTAGCATTAGGAGATTTTCAGTGTCTGCTGACAACATTTTCATTGTTGCATTAGCTAAAATGAATATCCTATCTCATTTCGCTGAGAGCCATAATTACACCACATGTGACTTAGGCTCAGAAAAGCAATCATTTATTTAATTGCTTGCTTTATAACCTGTTCCGTTGAGGGCATTTCTGTTACATAGTGATTTTTCCTCTATTTTCATTATAGTTGACCTTAACTAAATGTGGAAGCCCCTCCCTTTAGGTCCTTGACCTTTCATAGAGTTTTCCGGTACTTTTCTAATGAATTGATCAAGAAAATGAAGCCCAGGTCTTGGTTTTGGTCCCCAAATATGATGTGATAGACTTAGGAATCATCTACAAGAACTGGTTGAATATTTGGATTCAACCATTCAAAGCATTTAAGATAGTGGCTACACCTGGTGTATAAGCAGAGCTAAGAAAAATGAAGGGTTGTTATTGGGACAGTTACAGTATTATAAGTGAATGGTTTCAAGAGAACGCGGAAGAGATAACAGTAGTTGACGCAAGAGGAGAGAGTTGGCTAAGAAAACATGTACAAGTGGGATAGTAGCACCAAAGAAAATTGTTGCACTGAAATGTAAGAATCTCAAATTTGAAGCCGCTTTAGGAAGGGACTGGGTGGTTATCCAACAAACCACCAGGTTGTGTGAGCCAGCTTGCCAAGCCCATGGCTTGGTCTTCAAACCCGGCCATGCCTTGTGTTGCTTCACTGTGCCCATGATGTGTTGTTTTCCTCAGACGTGCATGGAACTTCCAATAGTGACGGGTTCCACCAATGTCTTGGTCTCACATTGGCTCGGTTCTCAAACTTGCATGCCTTGGCTCACCCTTCACAAGGTTTCTTAGGGTTGTGCCTTGTTTTGGTATGTTAAGGTTAGGGGGCATAAGGGTTACCGGCAAGATGCCCCTCGAGGAACACCTCCCTTCCCTTATATATGCAATATGGAGGAAAACTTAAGTGACAACAATGGACATCGGGATGTCTGAGGAGTCATGGTGCCACTGCTGCACATCCCTTAGCATCCAAACCACTTTGACATCAAATCCGACTTACTACCAAGTCTTCCGCACCTTGGCTTTGCATGAGGTGCCATTGGCAAGCCACTCAAATGTCTTAGCCATACCAACATGTTAAAGGTGGTAATGGTAGTCCAAATGGAAAAAAGAGCTTTGAGAGATTGGTAGACGGTAGACCATTAGTAGATTAAATCACTCCCCACCAGTTATTTATCTTCTTTTCCTTTATTTCCTTTTAATGAATTTTTTTGGGGCATTTGTTGAAAATATAAATGGCTCTCAAAATTACACTACTTATCCACCTTATATGCATACACGTAACTTTGTGGTTTATACCTGTGAGAATCATTTTTAAGTTGGGCAGTTTCACATGAGTTTACTTACAGTCACTAGCATTTAGTGTATTTTTATGTCTGCTTTTTAAATTTATGTATTTATACAGTAATGTGAAGTTTTGTTTTCACAGACGGTACAGACACAGCAGAGGGCAGAGAGAGATGCTGCTGTTGCACGACTAGAGCAAAGCCGGGTGGTTCTTGCGATGAGATTGGCTGAGCACCAAGGTAAGAAGTACAAAGTGATCGATGAAGCGCTAGCTTTTGTGGGAGATGTACGTGATGCTGCTCGCATTGGTTCACCTGAGAACCTTTATGCTTCAGCTCCATGTCAATCTGGTGAGAACTTTGGGACACAAGAAGGGACAAGGTCTAGTGTTCTCGTTAAATTTCTCATGTCTAGTATTAATTTTGCCAAGAAATCCCTTAAATTGGATCACATGGGTGGGATATTGGGGAATGCTGCTTTCTTTGCGGTCAGTATGATTGCATTGCTGCAACTGCATCAAGTATCTTGTAAGGACAAATTCATTTCAGACCTCCCACAGAGGCAAGAAGATGTTATCTACAACAGAAATGCGAGACGGCTCAAGGGATCTTCCAATGGTCTTTCAACCCACTTGGATGTCTTGTCAGCCAGAGGGTAGGATTATTTGATCCAGTTTTCATGTTTGAGCTGCTTTAACCTTTGTTGAATGATTGAATAGCTTGGTGTGTGATGGTTAGGGAAAGCATGTAGTCTTGCAATTCGGTAATACGAAATGCTGGACCAATTAGGAAATCATAGTATGAGTGTCAGTTCCAGTTTTTCAAGTTATGTTATATCTGCGAAATTGAGTGTATATAATCCAGATGTTCAGTTTATCTAGTGGTCAATGGATACAGATATCACTTCTTATTCTATTGCATTGAAATGTCTTTTGGACATCAGTGACGTTTTTCAGGCAATGAACAAGTGACTTGGGTCTAGCGGTGTTAATCGAGACATTCAGGTTTAGTTCAGATAAAATTTAGCTTGAATTTAACTCGTATTTTAAATGAGTTGAATTTGAATAATTTTTTAGGCTTGTAGTTCGACTCAATCTCGCAAAGCTCGGGTCATTTATATGTAAAATAATTGAGTTATTTGGGTTTGAGTTCGAGTTCGGCTTGAGTTTTAAATGAGTTGAATTTGAATAATTTTTTAAACTCGTTTATAAAAACAAGTTTGTAAAGTTCGAGTTTAAACTCGCAAAATTTGGTTCGATTAATACTACTATTTGGGGTCAGTAAATTTTGACTCAGATTAATTAACTTGATACAAAAGTGGAATAAAGTTTTATCTATTCTTCTAATTTTTAATTTTTTTATTTTTTTATTGTACCAAACGAATTATAGAGGAGAGAAAGAAATTTTTTTCTTTTGAATGATAAAAAACGTATGACTCGCAGTTTGCATTTGCCTAACTAACTTAACACACCATGTTAAACTTTTGTCTAACCTGTATCAAGGGGAAGCTGCCAAGTCCCTCAACCTTTGACAAAAAGAACGTTGTGAAGTTTGTTATGATCTTGGGAGAGAGAGGAATTGAAAAAACGTTGTGGGTTGCTATTTGCCTTTTGACTTTGTTTTAACGTCNACTTAACACACCATGTTAAACTTTTGTCTAACCTGTATCAAGGGGAAGCTGCCAAGTCCCTCAACCTTTGACAAAAAGAACGTTGTGAAGTTTGTTATGATCTTGGGAGAGAGAGGAATTGAACAAACGTTGTGGGTTGCTATTTGCCTTTTGACTTTATTTTAACGTTTGTACATATGAGGGTACAAGTTGGAGTTTGAAAAACATGGTGAGTCTTTTAAATTTGTAGCTGTCCATCACTTTCTCTCGAGTTCCAACCGGATCCATAATTAAAATCGAAGAAGTATTCCCCTTTCAATGAGTGAGAGGACAAGACAAACCATCCTCCTTTTCTTGTCTGCCTTTTAATTTTCCATCTAATCGTTGACTAAACAAGGATCAGCCCTCCAATTTCTAATGATTTGGATGCGAAATTTCAAACAAGTAAAATATTGAGGCGTCAATTTGAAAAGGAAAAAGCTTTTAACCGAAAACCCGGATTTTAATGGCCCTTCTCTGTACAAAAAATCCGAGTGTAAATGAAGAATGAAGAATGAAGATGAAGAGTAATATACTGGGCATGTTTGGAGGTTGATGAAAACTTTAGTTTTTGGAGGATTTAGAAGCAAAAATGTCTAGTTCGTTTGAATTTGGGTTTATTGAGCGATTTTTTCATCAATTTTTTGTATAGAAATAGCTTTTATCAACATTAAGAAAAAAATGAAAACTGAAAAATGAAACTTATGAGAGAGTTTCGAAGAAAAATTTAATTTTTTTTAGAAACACTCCAAACGAATTCAAAAGTTTTTTTAATTCTGAATTTTTTTTTTTTGGGTTCAACAGTGAAGGGTGTCCGATCAATTTACACTCATCTCGACTAGTCCTTTTCCCAATCCAGTCAAAGATAGGCTATTCACGCTCGGATTAGAGGATTCATGAGGGATAAATCCTTTATAGTTTGACTTCAAAGGATTGTCAAAATTTAAATTCAAGACTTTTGAGTTCACAGTTAATCCCTATTACCACTTGAACTATCCCTTGTGATTAATTCTAATTTTTTCATTTCACCTTTTCAACTTTTGTTTTACACTCAAAAAAATGAGTTTCAAACAGGTCCATTATTAAAACTCAAAAAATTAATTTAATTTAATAATATAATGATGTAACAGTAATATAGTTTAATAGTAATAATTGGACTTTTACATTAACACTAAATCACTTAACATAGAATAAGTTAAAAAATTAAATTAATTTTTTTGAAGTGCCAATAACAATACTCGCCCACAAATCACCTTGATCTCGATGAGTTCCACTATGAGTATCAAAACATTCATTCACAAAAAGTTTTTCATTGTTTCAGCATTTCCACCTCCATGGGCCCATTACACCCTTATGTCGGTTGGTGAATTAAAGGAAAATATGTTCACAGTTTGACCCAAACCATGTGGCTCATGAGTCATGATGGCGGCTGTTTACACTTGATCATTACCAAACAAATCGAGTAAATATCAAATATAACAGTAATTTCATATTATTATTATTCTTTATTTAATTAAAAAAAAGTATATTTTATACGAAATAATTGGTTATTGCATTACATAATTTATCCACGTTTTTATAATTGATCATCGATATCTAGTGGTTCAAAGTAACAAATGGAGTTAACTATTTTATTCATGTTAATTAAATTCTTGAACTATGTTTTATGTAAATTTAGAGTATGCAATCTGACTCAATTTGACTATTTTATCTAAATTCTTATTTAACTTTGACAAAAATTCTCAAGTATGTAAGCCCTTAAACTATAACCTAATATCTAATTCATGTGATGTGCACTTAAGAGATTTTGTCAAAATTAATGAATAGTTTTGACGAAAGGGTCATATTGAATCAAATATATAGTTTAGGAGTTAAATTGACATAAACAATGTAGTTAAAATGTCAAATAAGTAGTTAATTCTGGCAAATGACTAGCTTATTGTAGGCATACAAACATTAACGGTTTGTGCACTTTTTTTTTTTGGGTTATGGGATATTCAGGCATGTATCGGCTATTCTTTTGAACCCTTAGACTGATCATCGTAACTCAAGTTAGTTTAATGACATCTCGTGAAAAATAAAAATAAGGGTGAATGACTTTTAAGGGGCGTGAAACGCACTGCACTTGAGAATTCTTACAGAATTATAATCAATCTTGAGGATTAACAGTTCATACAGCTTGAACCTTTGGAAAAACTATAAAATCTGTGAGAAAAGGACGCAAGAGGCTGCGGCTCAGAAATAAGATGACCAAGTGTAAAATGGGGACCAAGCCATTGAGCTACCCCAAAACATCATATTGGTCTCTCTCTCTCTCTCTCTCCCTTCCTCATCAGGTGCTGTCGTGTTCATTCAATTGCATTACAACTCACTTTTAATCTGTTTCATTTTCAGTTTCAGACTTATATATGCAAAGTCGGCTCTGATACGATTGTGTTCTTTCCTTTTCACTTGTTTTCTCTCTCTCTTATAACCTGCTACGTCAGCGTCGCCCCTCGTTTAGCCTTTGCTCCACATCAGACCCCCCCCCTCTCTCTCACCGGTGACAACAGTTCCGGCATCTCTCTCGCCCACTCCCCCAGTGTTTTGCTTTCGGCAATTTACTAGGCCAGGAAATGTGTGCCCTTCTGGTCTTTCCTCATAAATATGCCACAGCTTACACAGTATATATAGTATCTAAAATAATTACTTTTACAGTTGAAATTATATATGTTATTGGAGTTTTTTATTATCTATCATAAAATATTGGGATAGATTATAAATAACTCCAACTAATTCTAACTTTTGTGATCGATTATAATATTTTAGAATAGATTATGCTCTTTGTAAATATAACTTGCACCTCACCTACCTCCATCAATACTCTACTCTTCATCCAGGACACAAAGGGATTTTTTTTTTTTAGGGTAAGTGGAATGCTGAGGTAGTTTGTGAATCCTCCTAATAATGAATTTGAATATTTGTTTGGCTTATGTATGAGATCGACTTTAGCTGATTCAAAAAGGTTGTAACAAGTGGTAGAAAATGCCAAATATTTGATTACTTGTCCAAGAAAGCTAGCCAGTGAATCAGTGTCTTAACTGACCGACAATGACATTTTGTTGGGAAATAAAATTGTTTTGGGGAGTTATTAGAGTTCATAAATAGTTTGAAGAACTAGCTAGTGGAGTTGAGGTGAGTGAATAATCTAGCTCTATCAAGTGTAATTGTAATCAACTTGAACGAGAAGTTTTCTTAGTTTGAGGATTCAATTCAATGGTCATCCTTTAATTTCATGAAGTTCTAATACTCTTGCCTCTAGCAAGGTAAAATGAGAGTTATTTTTTAAACGAAGTAGTTTGGAGCTAATAATGTGGATATCATTGATATTCATTTCCATTTACATTTTGTTTTCTATGTCATTACTACATCATTTAGTTATCTTTTTTGGTTTATTATGTTGGATCGAAGTGGTAACCGTTACACTAAAACCTACAAGTGTTAGTAAATACACAATTTCTTTCATTTAAGTAATTCAACAGTAAGTACCCACGAGTCAAGTTAGTTAAACTCTCCACCAAATCTTAAGCAGACTTGTTGTACTTCTACTCAGACCAATAATCTCCCCCAACAATAATCATGAGACTATAACTCATGACTTCGCTCTGATACCAAGTGTTGGACCGAAATACTTACTATTACACCAAAAATCACAATTGCTAGTGAATGTACAACTTTTTTTTAACTAATTTAGCAACAAGATCAAGGGTCAAGTTGGTTAAATTTATCATCGAGTCTATCTAGACCAACACACTAACGTTTCTATATAATATAAAAATTCATTTTTTAGTATGGTAGAATTACTCCTATCCACAAATTTGTAGGTTGTTTTCGAAGCTAGAACAATAATACCTAATCGATACTATGATCTCATATTACGCTAAGTTATAGTTCATTTGAGGGAAGTCTAATTACAATTCATTATTGGGGTGCCTATATTGCCGTACAGTGGGGGGCCACAAAAGGCAGATGTGTTCGAGGAAAGTAGGTAATGAAATCTTGCTGATAACTCTGATCTCCACATGCAAAAGCAACAATCTATGCCATCATTACAACCAACTTGCACATAATGACAGTTTGACCCCACTCGTGAAATTACCGGGGGCTGCATTGTAATATTGCAGTGAGGGAAAGAAGAAAAAATAAAGTCTCACGTGAGGAAGAACAATCATCAAACTCAGGCACAACTGATCAGCATCGAACACTTGGGCATGTTTATTACATTACGGGTAATTTGTGCCTNTATCAAGTGTAATTGTAATCAACTTGAACGAGAAG